TTTGCGCATATGAGAAAATAATGCCTGCTGTTGATGAAGACTTTGTAGGATTTGTAGAGAACAGCTCTTGATATTATATAACTATTTTCCAATAAATAAACCTATTACACTGTATAAACGTGGTAATATTATACTGTATTGCGTATAGAAACAGCACATTTGCTATATTTATGACTTCAATATTGTTTTGCCAAAGAGACTGAAATTTGAGATTAAGATTTGTATCCGATATTTTTCTGCACTTCGTGCGCGCAGGTTAATTTGTACAAAGTGTTGCAGCACGTTTAGGAATTTTTCTGACTTGTATTTCGTTCCAGGCACTGCCTTATACTATAGCAAATGTGGCAATGAGGCAATGACTAAGTTATTTCATTAAGTTGCTTCAATGGATTATACTTTGTAATACATTTTATATACACCCCCGCAGTGTATCAGGTTTCATGCCACAATTTGTTACAAAATCTGCATATTGTACGGGTTTTCAGTGTATATATGTATAATTTACTGCGTCAAGTTTACTTATATGTACAATTCTACTTTCCCTGTCTAAACTAAAATACAAACAGTGCATATTGCTTGTAGACGTACGAAATTGGCTTTCATAGCTATATTTTGACCATATTCGCTCATAGTCATAGCTATATTGTCGCGATATTTCATATTTCTGGTGAATCCATTGGCTGTGGCTCATTATTTTATCGCGCTTTCCAGTTTCGTGACTATGACCATATCGGTTGACTGCAGCATCGAAGCAGCTTCTAAATACAACCTATTCAAATAACGAATTTGGAATAAAAATTGCACTAGGCCATATTCAAGTGCATGATATTAAAACGAAATTAGAGTATATATTATACATATACCATTCTCTTGGCTCTCGCAGACAAAGGTTTGTCGTCGACAGTATTTGTATATTTTGGAATTGCAACGAAACCAATTTCGTCGGTAGCTAACCGTGGTTTTACCAGCAAGCTCTATATTCGCAAAGTATGCTGAACATTGGCTCTCATATTGCTGGTTTAAGGTGCACGAAGTCAATCCGTGTCCTTTTCGCTTTGTGCATCTCGCTTCCAGTAAAAGGTATAAAATGAAGTGAAATGCCTTACTCTGTATCTGTGACATTAGAACAACCGCCTACTACACATATATTCGGCAATTTTTCAGTTTCGTGACTTTTATTTGCGCTATTGCCTCCTCTATGATAGTACATGCAATAGTATTTCTATATTAGTGAGCTACATAAGTTCCTACTATTACGTCACACGCATTGTTTCGTCTCAGTCCCTTTTGCGCGGTTTTCAGATTTTTCACAAGGCCAAATTCAATGTTTAAACGGCAATAACTTTTACACTAAAAAAGCAATTTCAATTCCGTTTTCGAATTTCCGTATATTTTGTATCATAGATTTCGAAAATATAAACTCTCATTTTGTGACAGGGACACTTTAAGGCGAAAGTGATTTAATAAACGATTAATATTTAGGCGGTTAAAATCACGAGTAACTAATATACCACAGTTGGGGTATTTGGATTCGGCCATTGTGAGTGAGTTGAACAGATGGTCAGATGGTCACAGATCAAACTTGCATTACCACTGGGTGGGTGGTACACCAATCCTGAAATTATACATGAGAAACCCCGAGGTAAGCGGTCAGGTCGTAAGTAAAGCCACAAGATCTCGTGATTCTCACAGCAATTTAATTCGTCCATTCGTCTGTAATTACATTTTTCAGTTCGAATATAAGCACATACACCACCATGATCATCATTTTTCCTATCTGTGCGAAATACTGTGTAACCAGGAATGTTAATTATGCTTTCTGCAATTGACTCTTTTAAGCATGTCTCGGTAATAAACGCAAAATTAAAGTCATTCCGAATTAGGAATTCTTGTACTTCGTCTAGTTTTGGAACTAAAGACCTCACATTAGTCACCATCACCTTGGGAACATGAGATGGATTATTTTGTGAAAAGGCGTTAACACCTGTGTTATGCAGATTCTTATTGGGATAGATTTTAATGAGATTATTGTTATTCCGAGTACGATTTCGTTTATGAAATGGACGGTGGGAGGTAATCTTACTATGATTACGTGATGAGATTACGTTATGAACATTTCGCGTACGATTATCCATTGGGATACTGGTATGGGGTTTGTGTATACGACGATTGGGATTTATTTTATTAGGTATATTACAGGTGGCCTTGGCATTAATAGTAACGATGTTCGAACTTAAATTCTTGTCGATTGACTTAATTCTGTTTTCTGCGTTAAGTTGTTTACAAGGATCAGGTAGTTTCCTCAGTCCGGCGGCCGATTTGAAGAGCAATTCTTCCGAAAATTTTTCGGGTTATATGCAGAGGTATCTATATGTGATATGGGTTGTGGCATATAATTGCATCGCTTCGATTTTATATGACTAGATCTGGTGTTTTTCCGGTTTCGGGTTGATTTCCTTGTAGGTTTTTGGTGTGTTATTCCAGAATTATTATGGACAACTATCATTCTATCGGTGTGAGAGTGCTTAGTACGATATTCCTTCAATTGATCGTCGAACGATGGGAGCATAGTCGACGGATTATAATTTTGGTTAATGCCTGTAACCATCTCTTCGACTGTGGTGGAATTTCCATTTGGTGAGGATAAGCCGGCTTGTTGATCATCCGAAATGGATATGACATTGGGATAGGAATTCGATAGGGTGTTATCAAGGCTAAGAGCCTCTGATGTTATACTGGCTTCCTCAACTGTGACGAAAAATTCTACACATGATTCGTCCTGAATGTTACAAACTGCAGAGGGATTTAGGATTTGATGCTGTTGTTGATTAGGTTCTGTTGCTGACGTGATGATGTTAGTTTGGTCAAGTGTTGAAATTGGCGAAACGCTTGGTTGATCTGAGTGATTAATAAAATTTGCATTACACAAGGCTATCATAGTTTTCAGCCCTTTGTATAGTGTTTCGATAGTATTGATAAGACTATTGTTCTCATTAGCCGTTCTAACAATACTTTCTGCAATATTATTGTTATTGGTGTTGTTGTTCTCGTTTGTGTTAACTAAACGATCGACCTGGTGAACAACTTCACCGAGCTGATTTTTAATAATGGCGAATTCTGCCTGAACTTGATTTATTGCATCGCCATTGATTCGAATTTTGTTATCAATCTTGGACTCGGAAATCACCAAATCGAGTTTTAAGCCGTCGAATTCAGTCGACAAATCATTACACATGCTTGCACAACGCTCTCCGCTCTGGTTAGGATATTGAGTGATTTCGATGTCCGTTTGAATGCCCACTTCACATGTATTTACACAACAAAGATGATCGGTGGAACAGCGCTTGGCTGGAGTAGATTCGTGATAAAGATTTTTCATTAACGTGTTCATTTGTTTGAGGTCTGACTTTATTTCCATCATATCTAATGAGAAACGACTGCAAGCCATGCAATCTTTGTCACCTTCTGGATCGTTTAATTGATTGTATTCGTAAGGATCTGATATTTTATTTACACTCAGATCAATTAGTGCTTTCTTGTGTGTTACCAGTTAATAGATATTAAATCATTCCGATATGATTTAGCACCGCAACCGGGCGAACTCCACTTGCCGACATCGCCGAACAGCGCGGACATAAACGCTTCTAAATCATTTAAATTGCTCAGCCATTTCACCTTTCCATCGTTACTGCATTATATAAACTCTTTAAACGTAAAGTAGGCCTCGGAGAGTTTATATTCGAGCTGTATTTGTTGAGATTCAACGCTGTTAGTTAAGTCATGACCGGTAGCCATTTTGATATCCAACTTCATGGATTCGGTGATTCTAGCAATCAAGGAGTCAGTGCTGTTGTATACGCGCTTGCCAAACAAGACTCCGGGGACACCCAAAGGTTAGTGGCTGCAAAGTCTCGCCTGGCGAAACGTGGACTTACCATACCTCGGCTAGAATTTGTCGTTGGTCATATGACAGAAAACCTGGTTAGCAACGTGGCGAAGGCGATCGGTGAAGAAAGAGTGTCACAGCAACATGCATGGATTGACAGTACAGTCGGTCTGTATTGGATACGAGGTATGGGGGAGTACCGACAGTTTGTGGCTAATCGTGTCATAAAAATTCAAGCTCACTCCAACATCGAATGGCATCACGTTCCTACTTCAGAGAACCCTGCTGACATAGGTAGCAGAGGAGGGCAGCCGACAGAGAAATGGCTAAATAGTCCAACGTGGCTTGGTTTACCGTGCAAGCAAGAACATTGAAAGGAAAGCTTACTTAGTGGTTTTCGCGTGCAGCCTCACACGAGGAGTACACCTAGAACTGTTAAAGAGCCTTGAAACTGAAGACTTTCTACAAAGTTTTAAACGCGTTATTGCCCGACAAGGAAGACCTTCAGTCGTGTATTCCGACAACGAAGCCATCTTTAAAGCGGCAGTGACATTGCTAAGGAAAGTTTGGAAAGAAGAGAAATTCTACGAAGCTCTTTGCAAGCTTGAGATTGTTTGGCGATTCAACCTCGCGAAAGCACCATTGTGGGGTGGTCAATACGAGCGCCTCATTGGTATCTTCAAATCTATGTTTCGTAAGACAATTGCGGGTGGACTCTTGTCCTTTTCTGAACTAGAAGAAATCGTGCTCGACGTAGAAGTGTGCATGAACAACCGTTCCCTAACGTACTTGGAGGATGATCCTCAGCTGCTTGTCTTCACACCAAACTCGTTTCTGTTCCAACGACCAACAGCAGTACCAGAGCTACAACCTCATCAATTAAAAGAGCAGGACCTGAAGAAACGTCTCAGGTTCCTTTGTACAACGAAAGATGGACTATGGAATCGCTGGACCCGAGAGTATCTCACAGGACTAAGGGAGAGACATAAAATTGTTCGTGGATCTAAAGCAGAATACCCAAAAGTAGGAGATGTTCTCATTGTTAAGGGAGAAAACAAGAATAGAAATACCTGGAAACTGGGAAAGATCGTCCGACTTATTACCGGCAGAGACGGAGTGGTGCGAGGCGTAGAGCTACACACGGGAAATGGAAGACTGGAGCGACCGTTGAAACTAATTTACCCTTTGGAACTTCATTGGGATCAAGAGGCTGTCGAACGGGAAACTCCACCACTTAATGCACAAGCGAAAGAATTCAGACCTAAAAGGAAAGCGGCAAAGAATGCGGCAGCGAATATCAATAAAGTACTTGCGGAGAAGAGGAGACGTTGATACATAGAACGATAGATTGAACGAGAGATTGGGACATTAGTTCATTTTGTTGCATACATCTCATTAGAAAAGATGTATGGGGGAGTGTGTCGGAACGAAAGTAAACATTAACAGCAGACGCTATACTAATCAACTAACATAAATAATATAGTTCATGTTTATTATATAACCTAATTACTAATTCACCGGACGTGACGGCGCTAATTCATTGTTTGGTTTAGCCAATAGACAGAGACTATTTACATGCGCTTTATGAGGGAATATATTTGTTGTTGGGATCGGGAAAATTGTAGTTTTACTTGTGAGAAAAATATGAAAGAGAAATTGTGATTTTAAACTGTGATTTGCTGTGTTTCATGTGATTATTGTCTGGGCGACGGGCAGTAGTTTCCTATAAACAATCAGAATTATACCATCAAATGGTCAACTTTAAAACACGCTACTTCGTACACAGGGGGATCAAAGCGCTGCAATTTATGTTTGGAAGAAAAATTTTGCATTTTGGAACACATAAACAAAGACAATTTATTCAATAAAAAAAGCGAAATTTTCGGCAAATGTCGTAAAAAAAAACGGTTTCGAGTAAACAAGGTCGTTAACAAGACCTAATGACCCAAGCATGCATTGTTTCGCCTAAGCATTGTTTTGCCACAGGCATTCCGCACATTCTTTCGATAGCATAAAAGCAACCTACAATTTCGAAATTACTCACCACCTGATGATTCCTATACGGATGAAACAGACTGTTGTGGTTTTTTGAGGTAAACCGAAAAAATATATTGCGCTCTATCTATATGGTATTGAGCACTGTTTGTTTTTCGTAAACCAAAATCTTAAGCTATATACATATATATATATATATATATATATAATATATTATATATATTATATATATATATATATATATATATATATATATATATATATATATATATATATATATATATATATATATATATATATATATATATATATACATATACACAGTAATTTCAAAAGGGCCATTTTGGCCCCTAAAATGGGGCCAAAATTTTGACCCTGAGACGGCCCCATTTTAATGGGGCCGTTTTGGCCCCATTAGAATAGGGCCATTCGAGTCGTATATTTAACAATTAGACAACGAGGCCGAGTTGTCTATGAGCGAATAGTCAACGAGGCGAAGCCGAGTTGACTATTTGCTCATAGACAACGAGGCCGAGTTGTCTAATTGTTTTAGTATAAACTTTAACATTAATTTGCAACTAGGCTGCAAACACAATACAAAAATACACAAAAAAAAACATTATAATACCATTGAAGGTAAACAATTATTTCAGTTTTTGTTCGCGTAAAGAGTTGTACAAAATTTAGTTTTTATTTTAAAATTTCATTGAGTGTATGTTATTTTGTCTATTTTCTTACCCTTAAAAATTGCCATTCCATATTTTTGTTGCTTTTTTCGGGGGGTTTTAGTACAGAATTGTTCAACAAGTCGTCCAAAAAATCACCCGACACTTCGGCAAAAGTGCAAAACGCGAATTTTCGGACACTTTGAATTTTCTATTAGTAGGCTATCACTAATAGCCTACTAGTAGCGTAGCCAATCAGAAGGCACGATATGCGATAGCCTACTAGTAGGTTTATACTAATAGCTGATAGCTGATTTATAATATAGTCTAATAGCCATTAACTGAAGCAATAATTAATTATCCTCTGTTACAATGTCTTGACAATTTGTTCGGCCAAAAACCATTTGGCCTTGAAAATTTGAAATACTTTTGTTTTACAACTCGAAGACGAAATGAAAGAGATGGTTTTAAAACCGGTATGTCTCACAGAAAAGCTCAGATATATTATACAGCTGTTTGGTAGTATAGTACTTGCTTGTTGACTGCAAATTCATTTGTCTTTCGTTGCAAACTTTTCTGAACAATATATATTCTCAATGACAATGTCTAATGAACATGTTTTTTTCGCTGTTGTTTCGGTATTAATTCTTTAAAAAGTCTTGTGTTTAAACTAATTTCTATGTAATAAATGTATTTTGCTAACCTGTCAAATTTTTGAGTTTTTCCATGTACTATTATGATTTATTATCTTTCTCAAAGCAAATATTTTCCTTTTTTCTGGTTCGCAAAACTTACATAGCTTTTGCACCGGCATCTTGTTTTAGCTACTTACCGTATATGAGCTGATATACGGCGAGTAATTGAACCAATCAGATTGCAGAACAGCTCATATACGGTGAATGACTATATTATATATATATATATATATATATATATATATATATATATATATATATATATATATATATATATATATATATATATATATATATATATATATAGTGAAATATTGCTGATAACAAGATACAAGTGTTGTATATAGAAAAGGTTTCAATGTGCAACCAAAAGAGACATTTATAACGTAAAATAAAATAAAAGCCACTCAAATTTTGCACAAACGTTTTCGCTTTAATGTTAGCTCCTCAGGTGCATATTTACAATGAGTGGAATTTAGTTTATCTATTATCTACGTTCTATGATATCATATTATAACTATGTTAGGAATGCATATATTTACATGGTGTGAAGTCACCCGTTAAAAACATTCTATTGATCTAAATGTAAGCATAAACTTAATGGTTTTTTAATTAGCGTTCAGATCCGGATTCAGTATATTGATAAGTTCTTTTTCTTTCATCTCCCTAAAAAGTCGACTGTCCGTGTTAATGCATTGATATATAGGCATTATTTTGAAAATTCCGTTGTTACACATATTTAAGTGTTCGCTTACTTTTAGATGTCCATACTCTTCGTGTCGAATTTGTTCCTTGTGCAATGAACAAATGTCACATGACCAACCACCGTTGACAGAACCAAAAATTATTAACATTAACAACAGACCTGAAAGCGGATATCCACGAATTCAGTAGGAAATTACGCCTGGCAGAATATTTTAACGATAAAGAGTAGAACATAGACAATTCACTTGCTAAAAACAAGTCAAATTTTGTTCCACCAAGATCAGAGGACGAACATCTCACGTTATTTCTTAACGACTTGTCAAAACTTGAACAACAATCCCAGAAGAAAACTAGGAAATGTAACATATCTACAGTGGAACAGAAAGCTCTTCAAGACCTTAAAAACGACAGCACAATCATAATCAAACAAGCAGATAAAGGGAGAGCAACGGTGGTAATGGACAAATCTTATTATAGAGACAAAATGCTATACCTCCTTTCCGACACAGAGAATTACATACAATTATCGCAAAACGAGGACGAAGCCATTTTACGAAAGATTAAGAGACTTATTAAAAACTTTGCAAACTTCATTACTGAGAACGAGAAAGAGTACATCACAAATTTCCTAATGAAAACATCAAATTTCTATGGATTACCGAAAATACACAAATCAAAAACCATAACAGATGCTGTCACCGACCAAAACAATGATTATATCAAACTGGAACCACCAGCGGACTTAAAGATGAGACCTATAGTAGCTGCACCTATATCGCCCACACATAGACTAAGCAATTTTGTCGATTTGATTTTAAAACCATTATGCCAACATGTACCAAGTTTTATACGGGACAGTATGGATTTTCTGAACAAAATACCTACAAATATAAACGAGAAAACGATATTGGTATCATTCGACGTCATCAGCTTATATACAAGTATCCCACATGATCTTGGACTCACAGCAATCGAACATTGGTTGGACAAACACCGATGACATTAATTATAAACAAATACAAGGAACAGCAATGGGCACTAAAATGGCCTCAACGTACGCCACATTAACTATGGGTTTCATTGAAACACAACTGTACGAAAGGTTCAAGGAAAAGTATGGACAGGACAAAAAAGAAAACTTCGTGAAATTGTTTAAACGTTTCTTAGACGACTGCTTTCTACCCTGGCAGAAGACAGAAGCAGAACTCGAGGAACTTCATAAAATGTTAAATTCACTTCATCCAAAAATACAGTTCACGATGGAATATGACAATAAGAAACTACCGTTTTTGGATATATTACTCTACAAGAACGCGAAACGGTTAGAAAGTGATATACATTACAAACAAACGGACACACCCAATATCTGGATTATCATTCATGTCATCCTGGACATACAAAATCAAACATTCCCCACACACTGGGAAGACGGATCTGTGCAATTGTAACAAATCAAGAGTTAAAGAAGAAGCGTCTTGATAAACTAGAATATTTCCTACAAAAGCAGAACTATCCGAAATTGCTTATAAAAAGCGGAATACAGAAGGCTTCATCAAAGAACATTGAGGAATTGAGGGCACCAAAACATAAAACTGATGACAATGTCTTGCCTTTGGTAATAACTCATAATCCCAACAATCCTCAAGTAATTGGAAAAATAAGGGAGAACTTTAAATTTCTAAACAATTCCGAGAAAATGAAACGAGTATTAGACAAAACAAAACTCGTTGTAAGCAAACGTCAACCGAAGAACTTGAAGCGATACTTGACAAAAGCGCAATTCAATTCAGAGGACAGAGAACACTCTGTAACAAAATGCGAGGAAAAGCGATGTGGAACATGCGATGTTTTAATCACAGGAAAGTCTATTACATTAAAGAGCGGAAAAAGCTGGAAAGTCAATTCGACGATGAACTGCAAAGCGAGATATGTCATTTACGTGATCATTTGCTCAAAATGCGACAGCTTCTACGTCGGCCAGACAGAAAACTTACGAAAAAGAGTGACATTGCACAAGGAACAAATTCGACACGAAGAGTATAGACATCTAAAAGTAAGCGAACACTTAAATATGTGTAATACGGAATTTTCAAAATAATGCCTATATATCAATGCATTAACACGGACAGACTTTTTAGGGAGATGAAAGAAAAAGAACTTATCAATATACTGAATCCGGATCTGAACGCTAATTAAAAAACCATTAAGTTTATGCTTACATTTAGATCAATAGAATGTTTTTAACGGGTGACTTCACACCATGTAAATATAT